GGAAATTACCTTTCGAAATCGTGGATAAAGATAAACGATCATTAGAAAGCCGAGCTACAGTGTTCATAATTCTTAGTGGTTAAATGAGTAGTAGTTTTACAAACCGAATAGATGTGTCCCATTTTACACCACTTATAGCATTTGGCAAGACGAAAGATACATGTTTGAGCATCTGGGCTACCTGTTCCTGCCATCTAGATATTTCAACAAGTTATCCATTGTTGTTTGTTTTAATATATCATTATGTTTATTAATCGCATAACCTATTCTGCTGCGTTTCTGAAAAGTGTACAACCTTTCGTTGTCAAAGTTACAGAAAACTCAATAAGAGACAATGTGGTTGCTGGCAATATACAACGAAAAGAATGTACATTATTCAGTTGTTCATTCACTGAAGTGCTAACATCTAACTGGCGATCCCTCAATATTTATCGCCAGGACCGACCAAGAAGAAAGAAACGGAAACTTGTTGAAATACTTTGCGCTGAGAATTCTATATTGTACCAAAATTATAGTATTGAATAAAGCTAATAATAATAATAAATAATAATAATACATGAATTAGTAGGTGGAATTTATCACAGGATAAGCATTTACCAAACCTGTGCTTACCTCTTTTACCTGATTTGCAACTGCTCAGTTAATTGACATTCATGTTTTTCAGGTAAACAAGAATTAACATCACTTAAACGCCCACGTGGATGACCTTAAGTACGAATCGGACTAGAATAACAATGTGATGCAGTAGAACTATTGATGTCATGGAACTAAATTTCATGAACTTTTTCATGTATGATACACTCGGTTCTAACATTTTGGAAGGATCACTTCGGTATTTGTATGAACTCTCTCTCCGGATTTAGTATGTTAGTTTCTGAAATTAATTGATCACGCAGCTGCACGTGAAGTTGGTCAACATGATTACACTTGGTGTCTTGTTTCTACAACTCAGGGATACATTCTCTAACCTTTTGGCTGTTCTGACGAAACATTTTATGAGATTTCATCCTTCCACAGCATTCAAAATTATATACTTTACACGATTTAATAGTCATTCCTTGAGAAGTGAAGTGAAATAGGCTTATCTGGGAATGCCAAGTATTTTAGTAAGTTATAGGTATCCTTTCCGATGAGTGTAAGGAAGTGAGCCACAATTTTATCATCCTTGTCTTACTCTAGATTTCAAACCTTTCCATGAGATCTTCGAAAGCCTCAGAAGTTTGGTGTATATCCAACCGTTCAATCACACTCTCCATCACGACGCCAATATGATAATTGGATATATTCGAATTAATAGTACAATATAAAGCAAGTAAAACCAGGTGATCATAAATGAACGTATTATATTTGGACCTCGTATTGAGCGGGTAATCAAGTTAAAAAGAATTATCAGTTAGCATGATTATCATTGTCTGTTGGTGAGGTGTGGGGCAATGACTTCAAACAGATATCATCGTCCATCCTTATTGACAGTATGTTATTTACTTGACTATAATATGTTTTTAGTTACAGTTCTGGGTGCATTTACTCATACAACCTATGGGAGCAAGAGATGAACGAAACGACAGCATGATCATGTAACTCTAAGTTGACTCTAAGGAAATGTAACCTCCGAATCGAGTTTCATGTATGATACTTAAGCTAGCCTCATCTGACTAATAGTGAGATTAAAAAGCCTAGTAGAAAATGCAGCTGGGAGATTATATTTAACACAATGTAGTGTGAACAGATGAACATGAAGGCAAATAGAAGTGGCTTGAGCCGGATTGTTTATTTTAAAACGGACTCGTATAACATATGAAAAATAGAAGATCGATAAAACGTACCAACACACAGGCAAACAAATCTAGATAAGGAGGAAAAACATATCAAAAGGATATATGGTTAAGTGCTAATCGTTATTGGCATGCGTCTGAATACACTGAGTTTGAATACATTAACAACGGCAAATATATGAAACTATCGAAAGCAACCAACAAGATCAGAACAATTTATCTGTCACACGATTTGCTTTGTTTTACACTATGTAAATAGATAGGTGAATAATCTGGTTTGAATGGTTCCTTCATAAATACTTTAAAAGTTACTTCATTTCGTTTTTATGGATTTGATGTGGCATAATGGTATTTGTTGAAATCATCCCAAGTAAGCAAGCATAAGAAATATGTGTAGTTAGATTTCAGTTTTTATGACGTAAAAGAATAAAGCTGAGTTATACCGCCTGATAACCTTGAGATCCAAACCACTTTAATCGATCAGAAAACAGCAAAGAGTTATAAATTACCTACTATACTAAAACTAGATCATAGAATAAAAAATTTAAAATGCTTAAATTAAAACTGATGAAAACTTTAACCCTAACTCTTAATGCTAATGCACAACACATTATTAATTCTTTTGATAAATACCTCATAACCTTAAAGCAGTTTACGCATTTATCAATAACTCAGTGGTAGAGCTCAGGTTTACCAGAAATATTTCCCGTCTGTCTACATATGTGGAAGAAGATTGTCAGGATGTTTATGAAATGCAATATTTATTGGATCCTGTCTTTAAAAACTTGGTAAAATTTTCAGTCAACTTAAAGTTTTAAATATTTTTTTAATTAACATTTGTTTGATCAGAAATTATATATGGTTTTTTGATCAAGAGTTAAGGATTACAGATTACTAAAGTATGATTTGATCGAATAGAACAATAACATACATTATTGTTGGAGAATCAAGAGACAAATACAAAAATAAGATATTATAAGACTGATTATGTACAGTGTCTTATAGAATAATAAGAAAATATCGAGAACAAAATAATATGAATTCACTTGGTATTATTTATTTGAATATTCCCATTGATGTTTAGAACTGCGATTGATCAGTTTCTTATTGGCATATGTACATACTGTGCGTATTGCCTCGATATAGCCTTAATTTAACAACATCCATCTTTGCATAAAATATGACTTGTCACTATAGTATCTATACAAATATCTAGTATATGTGCACCATGTCAAGAGTTTGAATAGATATTCTCAACGAACGTACAAGAACTCATTAAAAACGACTAGATCACTTTAGACACTGAAAGATATTTTATTCAATAGTTTTCAAGATTATTTACTTTACATCACCAATAATAAAATCACGTTGCGCTATTAATAAGCTTCAAAGCATTTATTTCATTTTTTTAAAATATACAAATGACTGTTCATTGGAGAAGTTATTTTGTTAAATGTTACATTTGTTATTGAATTATGTTAAAAAGTTTCTACTGCTGACTATTTATTGTCATTTTATATAAATTTAATAGAAAACTTATCAGTAGATAAGAAGTATATGCGACATAAAAACGTTTTATAGACATAAACTGGCATGTTATAATCAGCAGGAAATTGATTAGACATCCGATGACCATCTCTTATCAATGTGAACATATAGGTTATACTGTTTGTACCTTCTAATTATGGTGACATCAGCTTCATATCACAGATAAGTGTATAATTTCATTGATTTGGAATAAAACTTCTACTGTTCAGATAATTAATCTTCCGATATTAATTTCATATGAGACTTAGATTACTAAAAACGTTTCATTAGTAGTTACCATTCGGTCATATTTTATATCGATCGAGACGGTCAAAATTACTGACTTAACACTTCAATAATTACTTTTTAACACTTGATCATGCTAAAAATAATTAAACGATACGGGTCGTGAAGAATACCTAAAGAGAACATTTTTACAACAAATAAGTAATCTTAAGAAGAAAACTCAGCATGAAAAGTTTACATAACGAAGTAAAAAGAAAAATCTAATCCCGCACGATGGGGTCGCGGATGCGCACTGCTGAGGAGTCTCACAATAGGACGAAACGGTCGTTCAGTGCTTCTAGGTTTTTTTATGGTGGTCTAGCTTCAATTAACTCATGATCTCAACTACTGAAGTCACTACTATGTTCACAAAACCCCCTTTGATACTAATCAACCTATGTTAATTAGTGACTGGCTTCAAGAGGTATTTCCTGGAGTTCTAGTGGGAAACAGTGACCAGTGGAGTTCAGTCGGGGGTGTTGGGAGATAATAACTCACTGACAACAATAGTGGATGTGCCGCTCAATTTCATGGATTATTTAAAATTAGACATTAACACCGTTGAATGTTTACCGGCTCAGTGGTTTAAAGGTTAAACGATAGATCCTTGGTTGGAATCTCGTGAAGTGTGATGGTGAATACGCACTGCTGAGTTGTCCCGCAATAGGATGAAACGACCATCCACTGCTTCCATGTTTTCCATGGTGGTCTAGCTTCAACTGATTCGTGATTTCAACTACTGAAAACAATGATTTCTTTATTATTTACTGTATTTTATTTGTTACTGATTACTTTCTGTAAAACAATGTTAGTTTTTCTTTGTTTCTCTTTTTTTTCTTTTTTCTTCTTTTTTTGCACAGTAACATAACTTAACGATATTATTCAACAGTTATCTTATGTCAAGATTTTTTAAAATAATTTTTGAAAAAAAGCAACTTCTTACTAAATAAAGTTATTACTATTTTAGTACTTTAGTAAATTGTCATACCATATGATTGAATTAATTTACATTATTTCATACATATATCATATCATATCAATCAAATATCTTTTGATGAAAAAATAACGAATTATAATATTTATAGTAGTGAATATAAAAAGAAAAGTATTTACAAGTTCATTGTACTTTATTTTGTTTTTCTTTATTTTTCTTTTTTCTTTTCATTTTATATTTTATTTTCAATAATCATTCAAATTTCATTAAATTGAAATAGTCATTGAAAATTTAATTTAGATAATTTAATAGAAAAATCCCTTTACATTTTATTTTATTAATAATGATAATAATTAAAAAAAAATCGATTTATCAAGGTTATGCATTAGTGTGTTTTGTTTTACATTTTTAAATTAACCAATCATGAATATGTAATTCAAATAAGACTCTATAAAAATAAATTAAAGTGTTATATATATATATTTGATTATTGAATAATTAAAACAATAAATGGAATATTTTGTTTAAATGTGAAGATTTTTAAATGAATTCTTATCAATAAATCTTTTTCGAAAAAAAGAAAGATTAAATTGTTTTTCCTTTTCTTTTCATTTGAATAATTTGAATAAAATCAAGAAATTACTGTTTCAAATTTGTTGTTGTTGTTGTTGGAGATACTTAAATATATATATATAAATCACTTTAAATAACTAATAGGTAAGTAACTTAAACAATATTGGCTTATTTTATTGTTATTATTTTAATTCTGGAGGGAATATAAATCGTTTTTTTTGTTTGCAGTGATAATATCATAGATAATGTAGACTACGATGGAACTTAGTTTTCTCTTTTTTCTCCCTGGTATATATTTAGGTGTAAAGTCGGGATTAATGAAGTACTAAATAGTGTTAATTTGTAGTGTTAATACTTAAAATCTTTGGAGATGTCATTATATTTTAAATCAAATTAAGTTTTATGAATTGTACAAATAGAGTGTGTATAAAAACTTCATTAAATGATTGATTACTATATAATAAAGGATGTTATACTTGTCAAATTTCTAGTACTAACAAAATTTAAATATGCTTGGTAAGCATTAATCCTTTCATTTTTGTAGGTATGCATTGCTGAAGGGTGCCAATATAATGCAAAACTAGATATCAACTAGTTCTAAAAGTAAAACATTAACCTTTTTAAATCGTAATTTTAATAGAGAAAAACCATAAATGATACATTGACTACCTATTTTTCTTTCTGAAAGTTCATTAGATTGATGTAAAAACTGACATCAACCATATTGATTAACTGTGTTGCCTCTTTAAATGTTAACTTTACTTATTCCAAATATATTTTTTCAACTGTCTAAGATTGTTCTAGTTGACTTTTCAATATAAAATATTGTTTTTAGTTGCTAAACACTTACCAGTTTTATTATATAAGTTTCTGTTGAATTTTATCATGTCGATGTTGAAATGTTTATTGTTCATCTTAAACATTTAGCTCAATCTTATAAAATACACTGAAATATCAACTTGTAAGAATCTATTTGATAATATATCATTGTAGAAAACCAAATATCTGTAAACACAATGAAATGACAATTTATGAACAATCATTTCTTCTCAAATTTTCGGCTCAAGTTATTTAATCTATTAAAACTGTACTGCGGGATTATTGAACACTTTAAAAAATCTAAATTCCTTGTAACTTACTAGCAATTAATATAATTTTAATTTCGAACTTTTTATACAAACAATTCAGAGAATTGATTTTGATAAATACTTGTTATGAATACATGATATGAATTCATTGTTTGTTTAGTTTTACTGATAATTTAGTATGCACTGAGTGAAATCTTAAGACTTAAGTAGATCAATTCAAAGGACTTTTAATGCAGGTAAACTACAACTAATGTTCTCAACACGTCCAATAATCATTACGAGGTTGAAAGATAAATTGCCTAGACTAGCCACCTCTTTCTGTATCTATCAATTCAACTGCTCCTGTGGAGCAAATTATATTGGCAAATGTTCTAGAAGTTTGTGTTAGGCATGGGGTTAGCGATTTCATCTGGTAGAAAACTAACTAGTTAAAAATAAAACGCTAACCAGAAAAATTAATCCAAAAATTAAAAGTTCCGTTGGTTATAAACTAAGTTTATTGATATTTATTTGTTTATATTTAATTTCAAACCTATAAGAGTTGAGTTTATTCTCTATTCATGATAAAGTTTAATGTTTATTGGGTCTTTTCATAAATTAATTCAAGTAGACATTTTATATCGTTAAGTTTTATTTCAGTAGTCAATAGGTGTCTCTTCATGAAAAATATTCTTGTTTAGTTATTATTCTTTTTCGATGTCTATTTTACCGTTTGTTACTTACGCTTATTAATTTTAAATGATTAGATAGTAATTAAAGAGAAAGTATGTCTTTGTAAAATCTCACTGATTGAATTTGAAGTAAATCCAATGTTTTGCCTGGCAATTTGGTCTAAGCTTTTTTTTAAAAGGGAAATTATTGAAGAAAATGTACAACTGGTATAACCACCAAATTTTCGATTAGATTGTAATTTAATCCTTGTAATACTGATTTGAATGGATATAAATTCCACTCTGGATAAATGTGAAACAATGTCACTGCATACACCTGGATTAGATTGATGGTAATATAAATTAAATAATGATAATAATAATATTTATTGTAAACAAATAACTTTAAAGGTGTCTACATAGTATTCATAATTTGTAAGGAATGGTGCTAATGCACTATGGAGATTAAAAATTATAGTATCTATCTATCTGTCTATCTATGCATAATATATTGTAAATAGTTTAGTATATTAGGATTACTGTGTGTAATTAATATCACCGTGATTTAATGAGTAGTACAGAACGAGAGAAAAAACATATTTAACTGTAAGCTAAGTGAAATAAGTAACATGAGTAGTATTTAAAGTGTAATTCAAACATTGCTGTACTGCAAAATTAATCTACAGTCTTATTCAATTATTCCATATTATTATATTAATAGTGGTATGATTGTAATTGAGTGATTATGAATAGACTTTCGATATTGTTACACTTGATAAAGTAATTTAATCAACCTATTTGGATCATATATATAATCTAATTAAACTTGTAATCATTATTATTTTAAAAGATTGTAATTCCAAGAAATGTTTCAGTATTATTTTGAGTTTAAGCACCATATATAGGTGGTCGACATCGATTTATTTCTACAGACTTTAATTTTTGTTTTTGAGTGTCATCAAGTGGTCGACTTACGTATATATACACACCCTTTCAAGGTAAGTTACTGATTTTCTATTTCAGCATGCTTATACTTATATAATGTTAAAACTAATAGTTGAATACTTTGAATGATTTAATTAGTTGTTCAGTTATAAATTCATTTACTTTAATAGTTAATAATATTCAATATATTATGATGTACAATCTATTTATCATCTGGTTACTATGACTACAAATTATAAACAGGAGACACTAGATTGTTACAAAAATAGTTATAATGTCTTCATGTAGAAATTGCAGAATACGGTTAATAATTATATTAAGTGCATATTAATGATATTCTCATACGTAAAGGCTTCAGAATTTCGAATATAATAAACTAAACATATATGAAAGATCTTTACTTGGTCAATCAAATGTTTAGCAACGTATCAATATAGAAAAACAGTTTTTTTAATATAGAAAAGTAAATTTCAAAATATATCATTCCTAAATAAACAAATCTCATTTTTTATGAACTTCAAGGATTCAAATATAGAAGCCTTTTGGCGATCTTGTTTTGACAAATAGATATTTTCCATGTTATTTTCCGCTTGATTATTTGAGTAGAAACTTGAATAACTTAAATAGGTATTATCACTGTTGTTTAAATTCGATGGTTTCAAACTGATATTTTATGCAGAATAAGAGTAAATTAGTCTGGATACTATGAAAGTTAATCATTTATTTGTAAATATTGATTAGCAGAGTTAATCACCAATTATCCATATAGGGTTGTGGCAATTCTTGAGTTTTTATTGAGAACATAAACTGATCAATATTAGACCATCATTGAAAACCTAGAAATATTGAGCTATCATTTCGATCTAGTATACGACTCCTCGGCAGTGCGCATCCACGATTCTGAAAATCAAAGGTCTTGGATTCGATTCAGGCATGCAGGATTCTTGATAAAGGATCATATGGCATGGTTAGTCTATGTCGCCTAAAAGAAGTTGGAGAAACAATCAATTCATCTGAAGTTGAAAAGGGCTCCGAATTATCGTTTATGAATTTTTGTATACAATAAAATTGTTCCGTACGACTGTATTAAAAGGATTCCAGTTGTTACGTAAATAGGTCTGTTCATATCCTGTTCATTCCTACCTAGAATCAATTTTCGAATTCATGAAATAATCAAAACATTTTAGTGTCTCGGTATTGAACTTAATTTTCTGTAATTCTGGGAAAAAAAGTGCCAATTGAGTCACTGAAAGATTGGCGATCTTTATAAGTTATCTTACAGAAATATAGTGTTTTAAGTTTTTGAAAAACTTCATGAAGCTTACTAATAGTTACATTTATGTTTGTTTGCAGTTGTTAATCTGTTATTTTCCCAATAAGTACTGTTTATAGAAGAAATTAGTTTATTGTATTTTCATTCAATACACTTTATACTTAAATGTTTAACGATGAACTAATTTTCATCTAATAACTACTTTTAATTATTACTAGAACTAGTGAATTATTTTCATTTTAAACATTCCCTCAAATGCCCTGTTACGACTGAGAGTAGGGAGAGTACGCTCTCTTTCTCGAAATGCTCTCACATGGCCACGTGTATACAGCCACTTTCGAGGAAGTTCTACTCACTGTCTTCTCGTGGAGGGGTTGTTGTTGACGAAGTTGAGAGGGATGAAATGCGGATGTCCGGCGCTTTAACCGGGTTAACGGATATTGAGGGTCCACCTGAGGGAGTTGAGAAACGCTGATTCCAAACCGATGGTGCACATGGGCTCCAGTATCCTAAAGGAAAAAGTAGAGTATGAACCAATTATTGGTCACGACTACCATGGGACTGCATCTCCTCACGTTGCACCACTCTCTTGTGAATGAGACCTTCAGGTGATAGGCTCCAGGTGTGGTCTCTTAAGAAAACCACCTGCTTTGGTTTGAGCATCAGGGCAGTATCATAACCTACACAGAAATCAAATGATTTATGTGGCGCATATGTATTCGGTGCCTCTTTGTATCAATATTTATATACTGAAATAAATGACTAATAAAAAATGACTTAAATATTCTCCTTCCTTTTAGTTCAATGGTCGGTAGAATTTCACTTACTAAAACATATTCAGTAATACATTCTCTGTATGATTTAATAAACAAATATATGTGAATCCATGGAAATAGAGCATACTTCCTTTTTCTAATAACACAATACAGATTTTATGATAGATTAATATAATTTAGAGAATCATTGGAAATCTGAGATTATTGTAGTGAATGAGAAGACAAGTGGGGACAATCGAATATACTTCAACAGAAAATTACAGTATATGTTAGTAAAATCTGAGAACGACAGAGTAAATATTTCATTTGCAAAATGTCAATCAATCGTCTGAGAATTGGTTGTTTCTTCATTTCCACATCAATCATTGTCTGCTCTCGTTGTGTTTTCTTTGATATTGATAAGTTTCTGCTTCCAGGCATGTGACTTTCGATTGACGATATATACTACTTATATCTATTGACATCATTAGCACACACCACAATATTAATTAGCTCTTTCTAATTATCCAAATTTAGGCTATATAAACAGTGTACAATGAATATTGCACTAGAGATTATCAAGCTTCAATAGTAGTAATATATTGTAAAACATCTACTCAAAAATTCAATCACTTTCATCCCATACTTCTAGGCAATTTGCATTACATTAGATTATTTCAAATATCTTTTATTTTTTAAATTTCTTTTTCATCCAATGCTTCCAGATTTTCCATGATGGTCTAGCTACAGTTGATTCATGAATTCAATTATCAAAATCACAATGAAGTTTATTGAATAGAGAAAAGTACTCTTTTCTTTCTTTCTCTCTTTCTCTTTCATTAAAACAGAATTTATTCTACATATTAAACATTTACATTAATGATTCATTTAACTAACGAAAGAAACACAAAAGATTAATTGAAGTTATTACTATTATTAATAATCATAATTTATATGGTTATTTAATCTTAATTTAATTATTTAATTAAATTAACTTTATATAAATTATATATTCATATATGAAATTGATTTAAGTAGTTTAAATATATCATTTAAGTAGTTTATCAATTTGATCATGTGAATGCATTAAACTATAAACATTCTTCTTTTCTTTCTATCATTCTTTTTTTCTTTTCTTTTCTTTTTTTTGCTAATTAATTCATTGTTTTATTTATATTTATAGACTAAATGTTCCATTAATAAAATAATTAATTAATATTTAAATTTATAACGAAACGATTCAAAAAAACAATATCAAAGGTCAACATCAAATAGAAAATGTCTACTGGTTATATACTACTGACAGTAAGTTCATTTTATTATTTAGTAATAAATCTTTTTTAGAAAAAGTTTAATTAATTTTTAATATTTTGCATTGAAAATATTTAAACATTTTACTTTAGTTAAATATTTCATTAATTATCTATCTTTTCATTATAAAGCTTATTTGGTTTCATTTCATGTTAAACTTCACTTTTTACATTCTCTCGTTTGTTTCTTATAACTAAGAAATCAATCTAAAATAATTATCAAAATGGGTTTTGTGGAGATTTTTAGAAATTTCACTGGCGCAACTTCGTGGATTGTTTGAAGTTAGACATTAACACCGTTGAATGCTGGCTCAGTGATCTAGTTGGTTGAGCGCCAGGCGCGAGACTGAAAGGTCCTGGATTCGAATCTCGCGGCGGGCGGAATCTTGGATGCGCACTGCTGAGGAGTCTAATCTAAAATAAGCTTTCTTTATAAGTTAAAATTCTAGATATGTCAATAAATGAAATTTGATTCTGATCGAGTTTGATCTTGAAAGCTTATAGAATTAAACAATATGATTCAAAGAACTCGATTCTATATAAATCATTCCCAGAATTTTTTTCAATTTTACTAAGTAGATTAAATGTTTCATGCTCATTAAGAGACTTGAAGATCATTGGTTATATCCTATATGATATGGTTAGTACTCACTGTCTAGGCGAAGACGAGTATTCAATGGGTACTGGTTTTTGTTATCATCAAGCTGATTATAGTTTTTAACAAAAAGTACTTTTGAATTCAATAATTCTTAAATGCATCTTAAGATAGATTACATTTCAGAGAACTAATTCAATTATTCCCTAATGATATTTGTTAAATTGTTTATAGAATAAACAATCCAATTTCGGACATTGAATTGTTTGTAATCAAATAAAATATTTAGTAACATAATCAGTTATTTCAATAGTTACTTTTGTTTAAATTACAAGTAACAAAAAAGAGATCCACTGGAGTTGATAGAAAATCCATAAGTCATTTAGGTGTTTTGGTAAGTAGTACATAATTAAGTTACTTGAAGTAATTATAGTGATTAATAATAAATATATTTTTGTTATATCTCAATGAGCAGGAAAATTGTAGTGTTTCTTGACTTAATGTAAGCTACTTCTTTAGAGTGACTGAGTGTCGTATTATATATTTGCTCTAAAGAAGTAGCTTACATTAAATTATGAAATATCAGAAATACAATTTTTCGATTCATTGAGATATAACAAAAATACATTCATTATTAACTCTCTACCCAATGTTTAATTTATTTGAAACCATCAAGTCCAACCTCGGTATTGATACGAATGATAGTAATTATTCTCTAGTACATAACTTATTAATAAAAAGTGTCCGGATCCAACCGTTAGTAACTCAATACAGTTTTGACTAAGTCAATTATGTGTAACGAAATGTATCTGTGTATACATATATTAGTTTGTGTTAGGTCCCGATAAGCATGATGAATGGTAACTTTTGGGATCCATTTGTGGACAAATACTATACGTATATATTTTGTCGTATAGTTGTTAAATAACTAAACTATACATATTCATGTCCCTCTTATTATGAGCTTGATTTTGACCTATGAACCATTATTATACGTTTTACCATTCTTGAATTATGCCCTGTCTATTAGTCACTGCCTCCTACATTCACAGTCACATTTGGCGGAATTTTGTACAAATGTTATTTTCTATTTCATGTTACGTTGTGGTCTGTCTGGTTGATTTATAAACCCAGTATGTCTGAAATGAATGATTCATATTGTAGAGGCTGAGATTGGTGTTCTGGATCTAACTGGCTGGGCTAGGCAGGAAGCAAAACCGATAAGTAATCTAGATTGCTCGCACGTGTTTTACGTGTCCTTGGTCCGATCGATAATTCGCTGCTTCTGATTGGCAGCTTTGTGCTATAACAGTATTTTGTCAGTGAGTTGTATTAGTAATGTTAAGATGAAATGGGCAGTATGTACAAAAGTTTCGGTATTCAGATACAATAAATTGATGTTTATTCTGAATAAAACTTATAAATACTTGCTATAAAGGCGTATGAAAGTACTGTACCGTAGTGTAATTTTAAAGGAATCAAACAAAATCACTCAACTGTGTTACGTCTGTAAGAAATCTGTTGAATACAAAATCAAAACTTAAGTTGGTTTACAAGGATAGAAAAAAGGTTTGTAGGATGCAGGAATCAAACAAGTGAATTGAAAAGAAGGTTTGAAATTCGCTGAAATACTAGACTGGAATCCGACTTAATGATCTATTAATTGGGTATTTGCTGAAAGATACACAGATTTTGATTCTAAAGTTATTTAGAATCGCGATGAAAAGTTATGGATAAACATTATTCAGAGTTCCTTAGTTTTCAATAGTTCACTTACTTATGTTAATTTCAAGTCATAATCCTTTTCAAACTTAACTGAATATTTCACAAAATCATCTCTCATGTGAGATAGTAACCCACTGAAGACAATGATGGGCGGTGACGCAATTTCGTGAATTGGTTGATGTTAGACATTAACACCATTGGATGCCGGCTCAGTAGTCTACAGGTTAAGCGTTCACGCACGCGAGACCGATAGGGCTTTGGTTCAAATATCGCAAGGCGGGATGATGGATGCGCACTACTAAGAAGTCCCATACTAGGACGAAATAGCCGTCCAGTGTTTCTAGGTTTTCCATAGTGGTCTAGCTTCAATTGACTCATGAATTCAACGGCTAAATTTAACAATAATTAAGAATTTCTATATTCATGCTGATTTCAATTCAACTAATATAAAAAAAACCACTGTTTGATTTAAACCAACTATTTCTCAACATTCTTTTTACATTGTCTACTTCAAAAAAGTTGTTTTTTAAGCCATATATCGTTTAAAAGTGATTGACTATCTTATCATGGATTGTAATTTATTTTAATAATGAAACTATTTACATCTGTAGATTATGATATAGTGGTATTTCTATATCAATAAAATTCATAATTTAAATACAATCCACAAACTGATTAAGTCTAGATTTCATTATTAAATTATAAACAACTTCATAATAATTCACTTGGCACGGCTTACTTAAATCTTCCCATTGATGTTTAGGACTGCAATTGATCAGTCTGTTATTGCCATATGTTCATCCTGTGCATATTGCCTTAACTCACAAGCATTCTAAGGAAAGATGGCTAGTGACTAGCAGTGGAATCCAGGACGCGAGTTTCGTCCTATTTAGGACTCATCAGTTAAATGCACCTGAATCTCAGATTTGATGTTCACTCTGAGACTGAGTGGCGAACTGGATACCTCGATGGCATTCGAAGCAAACGGCACTGGGTTCAAGTCCCAGAATGAACACTTACTCTGAATTGTAGGTACATCCAGCTGACGAGTCTCAAATAGGACGAAACGTGCGTCCTGTTTTTCACTGTTAGCCACTATCTATCTTTGCTTATAACTTCATAGTAATATTAATAGTAAATACAAGAACAGACAAGTACACTTTGAAGAATTGATTATTGTCAAATAGAGATGAATTTAATGTCTTTAATTTTCAATCCAAATTATTCATCATTCATAACTCAGTGATATATGTGTTTTTAATAAGAAATTTTCATCTTAATTTAGACAGTCTCGTTAATTGATTGAATGAATGATTATTGATGAGTTTATAGTATTTTACTTTGGAATTTTTAAATGTTACTATCATGTATCCTTATGAATAAAAGAAAGAATATATTTTCGGTGTTTATTAACTGTGATTGTTTTAAATTCCACATAGTGATAAGATCATAATCATTGGTAATATGACTGACTAGTTAAATTCATGAATCTTCTTTCAATCAAACATATTTTCGCTTCTTTATTTCTTTGAAAAAAAAGTGTATTCAAATCTTTATGATTGTTTGTAATCACAATTTGTATACGTAACTTAATTTCGTAGTTAATCTGTAATGGTATCATTAAAGTTTATTCTATAGAGGGGATTTAATGGATCTATATAAAGTATTGTTAATGTGAAAATCAGTTAGAAATTTCAATGGTAAATGATATTAGTGCTAAGATGAACCAAGTTAAATGAAAGATAATTTATTATTCATTAACTATTCAATATACATGGTGTTTTTTGTTGTTGTTGGATTTTTATTGAGAGAACTACAAGAAACTATAGAGGGATGAACGGTTGTTTTTATCATAGGCTTCTTATCTGAGGATACCTGTAATTACATATGTAATCGAAATCAGGGTGTTATGTTCCAGTAACGAATTTAAATAACCAATAAACAGCAAAGACGAAAAAATTGATACTCTGTGCATAATGGCTGGCTCAATACTAACTAGCTCCGAACGAAGATGATGAACACAAGACTAATGATCACCAGTTCAAGTTTGTAATTATATTTCAGACAGAAGTAGTTTATATACTAGTTGACCAGACTGAATCACATCATGAAATAAAAAATAGCAATTATATGCGATCAAGCTGAAAAGTGGCTGAGAGTAGGGGAAACTGTGAATAACAGATTGGAAATAAATTAATAATAGTAAATTGTATGACAATACTTGATGGGTTAATTGAATGCTTATGACAAAAGGAATATATCTATAATAATCTAGTTGCTTATACAATAAGAATATATATGTAGTAATAGTCTATAAATTAGTCCTAGGAGTTACCATTACTTTAGTCTCCGTTCAGATATAACACATGGATTTTAAGTTCTTAATGAGCAGGGTACCAATCACATGCTTAGTTGGCGTTCAGTTGTCTACTCTTTCACAATATAACACGATTACTAGTCATCATCCAATTTACCCATTGATAACTGGATAATTAGTGAGTGTATTAGAATTTCTAGATAAAAATTGTCATTTCGAAAAAGAAATATAAACTCAGGGGAAGTAAGAAACACATACTCTGAAAATTAGTTAGCTTACTTGTAGTTCATGCTCTTGTATATAATTAAGTAGTGAACTCTGGTAAGGTTAGAAATAGTTTATGATAGGAACGTATTAT